TCTCATGGCAGACAAATACGCGTTCCTGTGGCAGGGGTTATAGCATGATACATAAGGTGTGTAGAAAAGCTATAAACGTATGAGCTGGAAATTAGAAGCACTCACTTTTAACCAACTTACAAGATGGAGAAGTTATTGAAAACAATGCTGAACAAATAAGACAGGAAAAGCTGAATGCATATAAATTAGAAATTGAGAAATCAAATCTAATCAAGCTTTTAAAAAGTCCAATTTTTCTCTCTATTTTCTTGTTTCTTTCACTGCATAAGCTTATTTCATTGACTTAGTATACAGACCACCCATGGCCTATGCACCTTATTAACTTCATAGATAGCCTTCCAGATCACTTTGAATACATTTTGAAAAAATGACCAAACCACACCTATTCTTTTGAAAATTATCGAAAGTTTTATAAGCAGTCCCACCCTGTGGACTTTTAGGTTGTTTCCAACTAATCCGTCTTACTGGATATTTAGGTTGTTTCCAATTAGTCCCTTCTGTTGGATATTAGGATATTTTCCAACTTGTTATAGTGTGTGAATTATATCTCAATAAAGCTGTACAAAGTTTTCTTAAATGGCCTTAAGACTGGCATGCCCAGTTTTCTTCAGTGTAGGAATGGAAGTGAGGTGTGACTGGAGCAGGCATGCACGTTCCATTTTTCAGACAAGAGTTAAAAGCTGGCTAGGTTTTCTGAAATTTTAAACTTTATTAAAAATGGATGTTTGTTTTCTACAAGATGATGAACGTAATGTTTCCCAGCTCTAGTCAGTTGCTTACCATTCTCACCACCTGCAGTACCACCATGGCCCACGTTATGCCACATACACTGCGTCCATGGGGAAAAGATGCTTTCGGTTCTATTTGGTGAGAGTTTGCTGCTTAGCAAGTCAGCTGATTTAGAGGCAGGAGACTCATCAGGCTGTCACACTGTTTCCCTGAAAATAGATGCAGCAGAAGAGTTAGTAACCTGTGGCTTTCTCAGCTCAGCGAGGCAGCCTGTAGTGCTGCAGTGTCTCTCTCCCTGGCTATAATGAGCGCTTTCTCTATTTAGACACAAGGGGCCCTTCTGTGCTGACGTGTTAAAAAAAAACCCCAAACCCTGCTCTTTACATATCCCAAGGCCTCTCGTCAATAACTTGTACTTCATATACCAATACATCTGTGAAAATTGATTTATTTTTAGTCTTCCTTGTCATGATAAAGATACAGTCAAGCCATAATGTCATAATGTCACAAATTTCAATGCAGGTAGTAAAATTTTAGCTGTTGGAGACATACATTAAAAAATTATATAAAGTGAAAACAACAATTTAAACACATATAACTAGATGTTGTGTTCATTTCTTGGCTTTTTAGAGGATGGCTCTGGCTTAGAAAATAAGATGAAGTAGGTTAGTGTATACATTCATCGGATGGTATGATGTGAGTAGTACGTGGGATTCTAAATGATTAAAAAGCCGAGGGAACGACATAGAGGAATATAAAAGCCAAGTAACATCTGGCAGGCTTTGCCTGACCAACAGACTATAACCCAGCCTAGAGTCCACTGTCTTCGCCATAATGCTTGGGAAGCTGAACGCACTTGATATGGAATTTGGGCTTTTCCTGGAAACCATGTAACAGCCTTCAAATACTCTTTTAGCCTTTGTTAATAAGATGGTTCTTGTAACCTTTAAGGGCTCAGGTGTTTTCCTTTGCTTGAAGGCAGAGCCACGTCTGGACAGAAGGTGTTATTGTTCCTGGAAAGGAGCCTGACCTTCACCAGGGCCCTTGAGGAACAGCAAGGATCAAACAAGTGTGGGGGACGGTGGTGAAAACATACAGCTCACAGATGCAGATCTCAAAGCCTGGGTGTGGACACATGGGATTAAATACCAAAGGCCATTTGTACCAACATTCACCTGGTGTCTCTCAGCTTGATCAGAGGTTCTTTAACTCAGAGACCTGTGGACGTGGTAATTAGGTTCAAAGCATAGTTAACAGAACAACAAGCTACTGCTTGCTCTGACAGCATGTCATTAAGCTATCATCGAACTTGAGCCTTGAAAAGGCTCATCCAGCATCAGAGCATCACTGACTCCTTTGGATTCATAGACTTCAAAAAAGGCCAGTTAGTCCAAAGTCCCCTGTTCTGGAATAAGGAGCTGGTGGTCCAAAGTGATGAAGGGGGGCCAGAGAGGAAAGAAGCTGGATTTTAGGACCCACCTTCCTGGACGTGGTCTGTGTCTTTTCTGTGTATCACAAGGCATCAGAAAGGACATGGGCTTTGGCATCTGCACGCTCACACGTACTAGCCTTGTGGACTCACGTTTCTTCCTTTGTAAAATGAACAAAACAGAACCAGTCACATATGGTGTTATGAGGGCAAGACATGCTGTTGAGCCTCTGTCACTGTGAACTCAATGAGAACGCTCTGCATACGAGCAAAGAGGTGGTTTTTCCCATTCCCTGCCTCTCTCATGACTGGTTCTCCATCTGGAGGGTGTAATCGCTGTGGCGCTGGTCAAGTGTGCTCACATCCTGGGAATTACAGACACGCTGGGTACCAGACGCTGCCGCGCAAATTGGAAGCCTCATCAACGCGAATCCAATTCTTGACCTGGAGGAAGAATAGTGTATGTGAAAACAACTTGTGAAATGTAAAATGCTACAGAGTGCTGGGTTTTGTTATTATTGTAACTTAATCTGATTGAATGATTTTTCATTGGTCCGTAGCACAGGTTTTGCCGAGATGATTAAGGCAAGTCAGCTTTGCTGGTAAACACATCTTTGTTCGAGGGTAGCCCTTGGCAACAAGAGGGGCAATTGCTTAGAGGCAGCTGCCTTCTGGTAAGAAAGGGAGAGTGGAGAGAAGTGAGGAATAGTTCCAAATAGTTCCGAGAAAGGCCGGGCACTAAACCACAAGAGCTCAAGGGAGGGGTTTTCATTCAGGCTGTCGGTGGGTCTGTGCCTCAGAGTGCCATTTTGTGTGGGCGAAGCCAGAGTCTGGAGCATATCTGAGAAGTGTCAGATATCCTGGGAGTGTCTTTTTCTTCAAGTCTTTTCAGAATCATTGTGAAAATCTGACAGTAGAACCTGTGGACCAGGCACAATTTAGAAAACTAAGATCAGTCTGACACGTGACAGACTGAGCTGTCACTCAGGGAGGGGCCAGGGGCGTGTCACCTGCTAGCTCACCCATGAAGGCTGCTCGGCTATGGGGAGACTGAGGCACGGGCCTGCAGTTTCACCAGGGCAGTGGTGATGGGAGCCTCTCTTGTGGGTTTCTCAGGGTCAGGTAGAGATTACACGTGACCAACAAATGTGGGAATGAGAGGCAGGGAACGGCTTTTGTGTGGAAGGGCTGGTGGGACCCAGGGCACTGGCAATGCTAATGATATCAGGGTGGTAAATATGCGAGGTATGTGTGGTGGAGGGTGTTGGAGTTGTAGAAGAGAAGGGGGGATTTTTAAAATTTGCAGTAGCATCCTTTATAAAAGAAATACAAGGATATTTTACAACATGTGGGAAAATATAGAAATATACAGAGAAGAAAATTAAAATCACCCACAATCTACCAGCAACAAGTAATTAGGAAGGCTGTGGGTATCAATCTGGCCTGGAAATGGACGTGGGGACATGACAACAGCTGGTTTGTTAGAATAGTGGGAAATGGAATTTTTGTCTCTTGCTTTTCTTCGAGTTCATTTTGCAATGTCTTCTTCTAGTGTGTCTAATGGAAATACATAGTTGAAGAGCTATAAATTTTATAAATTTAGAATGCAATTGTACATGCTGCATTGTTATCTGTATCTTCATTTTAAGCATATTGTGAGCTTTTCTTTCCCCGTGAGTAAATATTTTCTAAAACATGATTTAAATGGCTTCTTTGTGTTCCATCATGTGGATAGATTATAACCAATTTTTAGGAATTCTCTATTGTGTCCATTTAATTGGTTTCATTTTTTACTATTATAAATAAAACTCTACTCAGTACTCATAAACATCATGTTTGTGTGGATCTCTATTGCCCCCTCCTTGAGATAAATACTGCAAAGTGAAATCACGTGATCAAGAGGCATAGACATTTTTCCTGCTCCTGAAACATGATGTGGGATTGTGTTCAGAAAATACTCTGTGGATTTCTACTCCCGGGGGGGATGCTTGAGGAAGGGCAAAGAGGGAGCCTGGGAGCCTGAGAATCCGGGGACCTGGGGAAAGAGACTGGGAGCGTCTGGCAAGAGGAGCCTCACAGGGAAGGCAGGAGACATGATGCTAAGGAAGGAACCCAGCCATTTTCAGGGGTGTGTGCCTGAACCTGGGACAAAGTCAGCAAAGTCAGCTGAGGGCAACACTTGACCTTGAAGAGGAGGTGAAAGCAAATGATGTCCATGAAAGATGTTCCTTGAACTCCTGTGAGCTTTATAAAATTTTTCTAGAATAAGCTTATTACCGTCCTAGTCACTGAGGAAGAACTTGACACACAGAAGTTAAGTGACTTTCCTACTATCACACTAATACAAGTGGCACAGAACACAGATTCAAAATGATTTCTTGTAGTCCAAATCCCCCAGGGTTCTCCTCTTGACTTTTTCTGTAAAAAAGAGCTTTATATTTGTGATACAAGAGAATGTCTTTCCTCACCTTTGAGGCTAGAGCAGCTCCCACAAGGGAAATGAGAATGATTGAGGCTGATGAACAATTAACAAGAAAGGGACAATTTCTGCAAAATGAAGTGCTTCTAAACTCTAAACACACTATATTTTATTATATATTATTGTTAAGCACAAAAGAAATCTTTATGGGGCTCTTTTCAAACGGATTACTCAGCTCCTAATGCAGATCCACAAATCGCAGGTGAGTTTGAGCTCTGTGATTGACTGAAGCATGACAATTATGTGGCAAATAGTGGCCAGCTGAGTCCCCAGGATGTGGCACACACTTACTGTAACTCTCCATCGAGGTGTCCCGCTAAAACTTTTAATACTGGTCATTTCTCCTGAACTCACCTTTTTAAAATGACCAGCAGGAAGTATTGCTTGGTTCTAGGATTTCTTCCTTTTTTATGGGCCAAATTGGGCATTGAAGGCAAAGAGAAAGAACAGACCTGTTGTTTGCTGGGCAAGTTCGATGTGAATGGGTATGTAGATGCCAAAAATCACTTGCTTGTTATTGAAGGACTTTTTCTGGTTTGCTCCAGGATCATCCCAGCAAATGAGTCTGTTTCGGAGCCAGTACCAGTAAAATGTGAAGGGTAAGCCATTTTTGTTTGTCTCCTTTCCACATCGGTTCCCTGTTGGGGGGGATGAAGGAGTGTTGACTGTGGGGGTCGGATTCCGCACCTGGAGCCATGACATCAGCCCTGACTATCTGACTCAGGTTAGGTACTTCCTGTTTCTGGGCCTCAGTTTCTCCAAGGTGGAGGTTCTAGGATATTTTAAAAACAAGAAAAGCTCGGGCCCACGTGGGTCCTTTCCCACACCTATGCCGCAGAAAGGAAAAAACAGGTTTTGGATGACCGGAACATCACCTGGGAGCTTGTTAGAGACATAGAATCTCAGGCTGCGTCCCACGTCTGCTGAATCAGAGTCTGTATTTTGACAGGACCTCCAGCTGACTCAGGTATATATGAAGGTCTGAGAAGCTCAGATGCAGAATTATGCAGGGGTGCGGCTTTACCATGAATTGTTCTTAGACTGAACTCTCCTCGAGTGAAAATGCAGTGTGGGAACACTGATTTATTTCTGAGTTAAGGGGCACAGCAAGATTCCTTCAGCTGGAAGGCTCTTGCCCTACTCCCCTCTGCCCAAAATTGTCGTGTCACAGAATGGGATCCATGACTGATAATCTGAATTTGCTATTAATCCATTGTAAGAAAGGCAAACCTGGGTTGGATTTCTGGGTGTGAAGTGTATTTGTATGGACACACAAACACACATGCATGTGATCTTTAGACATGAAACATGCCAGAAATTAAAAAGAAAAACAGCTATTCACTATTTCACTACAATATCAAAGCAGTTTTTTCACTTTTCTCTATTCTTTTTCAGTCCTTTATGCAAATGCAGCCATAATTTGTACATAGTTGTGACCATAGCCTGCACACAATTTTTTACTGGGCATTTTACATTCTATGCTGTAGTAAGCATTTCCATGATGCTCCGTGGTAATTATACCTGTAAATGCATGCTGCAAAATTGTTACCAACTTTTTACACAGTGAAATGTTTACTTATCACAACTATTTTCCTTTGATCATATTTCATGCTACATGTTAGAAATATCATGAGTGATGAATAAATGATAATGTCGTTTGCAAAAGAAAAGGAGTGCAGTTATTTCCTTCTTGCCTCTTTTCTGGACCTTCTAATCCTTTATATTTTTACAGTGGATGAACGGAAAGAGGGGTAAGAAGGGTTTTCGCTCACAGCTTCATTATCGTGGGGTCAGTTCATAATCCCAGAAGTTTTTACTTCATCCCTAGTGACATAAAATGAAAACTGGAGTTTGTCATTTTACAGTGCACTAATATTTTGCAAATGGAATCTTTTAATTTGTTCTTCACCCTTCACCAGAACTTCTGAAGGTTATCTTTGTAGCAAGGTTAAATGAAACAGCCAATATACATGTTTTTAATAAAAGTTCAACCCTTTCGTTAAAACACTAATTTGGCATATCTGTTGTGTTTGAAATAGTAGTGAGAAGTCCACCCCATTTTAACAGTAAGTAAGTCACTCACCTGGGGGCATTTTGATTTCCCTACCCAGCCCACCTGTTCTTGCTTAATTTTCAGAGGAGTCTGATAGTTGCTTTATGTGTCTGTCCAGTGATTTTCACTGGAATCACTGGGACAGTCAGGGTGGCGTGTGCTCACTCTATCTTAGCTTTAACTCGAAGGCTGAGAAGTCTTTGAAAAGATTTCTTCAGTATCTTCTGACTTTCAGTGTTGCTGCTGAGGAATCTGATGACATTCTGATTCCTGATATCTTGTATGGATCTTGTTTCATGTGGTCCAGGGCATCAAAAAGCCAGTTCCTTGTCCTAAATGTGAATCAGTAATGCTAGGTTTCATTGTGGGGATTTGGTGGTTTCCCAGTCTGATTTCGCTGAAACCCAAACCACTCATCTTTATGAATTATGAGGCTAAAACTTCCCCCAGCATTTCAGTCCATCCTACATATACCTGCATGTTTTGGAAATCAACAGTGTTCAATATTTTAAATTTTTTTGATATATTTTTAAAATTAGACCCATATAATTTATTTCCACCCATAACTGTCATCAGTTTCTCTCTATATGTACCCAACCCCAAGTTCTCCAAACCTCTTCATGTTCCTCCACGTGATGTGCCTCTCCCAGTGGGAGAGCCCTTGCAGAAGGCCTGACCTAGGTGGGGTTCAGGGTCTAACCACACAGAATTTCATTTTGGCATCATTAACCTTTTCCTAGAAGCGATCTAGAAATTCAGCCTGGGGTTTGGAGGAGTCTCATTTGAAACCCACCGTTTAAACAGTATGCTAGTTGTGTTTATCCATCAGCTAAATTTTACTGGGTAGGAAGCTATTCTATTATTTTGACAGTGTTATTCAGAGCAGAGAAGATAATGAAATGGAAGGAAAAGGAGTATTTTGATTTTTGTTTTGGTTGATCTAAACAAATTTAAAATTTAGAAAAATTTTCTGGGGACAAAAAGGTATACATTGTGTAGCAATGCTGTCAATATGATAACGAGAATCAATGAATGGAAGAGAAGCATGCCAGACCCCACCCTTCCAGTGGTTCTACTGTGCTCATGAAATGTTTTTCCTTGTTGATACTTATCCAAATGTCCACATAATTTACATGTGGTTTTAATTATAATATGGGAGCACCTTTGCATAAGGTCTGTTTCACTTAATATTATAAGCATGCTGCCGTGTAATTTCACTAATTATAGCTTTTTAATGATAGAAAATGTTTCCATCAAGTCAATGTGCCCTGGTTGACTATCATTGAGCATGTAAGTTCTTTCCAGTTTTTCAATATTCTAAATAATTTTTTGATGAACCATTTGGGACATGCATAGCTTTTTCCCTTGGGAAGAACAGTCTGTTCAGATAAATTCTCAGGAGTAGAATTATTCATTCAAAGCAGGTGAATAATTTTCCAGCTCTTGCAATGTAATGCTATATTACCTTTAAAAAAATATTGCTGCAATTATTTGAAAATGTGCACTTGAATTTGTATCACCACCTGTGTAAGTGTGGACACCAACTACCTTAGGACGATGAAGCCCTTCACGCTCTGGCACCTCCTGGTTTTCTGGGCTCCCCTTCCCGGGGCCATGTGCACTTGTACTCTACCCTCCAAACATACCGACCTTCCACTGCTGGAGTGTCTCGGGTCCGCTCTGTGTCCTGCCTGCACACACACTCTCCTCTCTGCCTGCAGCACTCATCTCCTGTTTCTGTCACCCTTCAAGCCCCAGCTGTTCAATCCTCCAGGATGAGGTGCCTCTATTTTGTATCTCATGGTCTCTGTGGCTACCCCATTACTGTTTTTTCAAAATCAATTGATGCATCACTTGGCTATTTTTCTCTTCCTCCACTTCAACATTGCAGTGTCTAGCTAATTCACCATTGTATTTATAGGTCTAGCACCAGTGGAACTGAATAACTGCATATTAAATGAAAAACAAATCTCAGCTAAACTAATTAATTAAAAAGATGTGGAGAAGATGTCTAATCTGCTATTTGCTGTTACACATTTAATTAAAAATATGTATTGAGTAGAAGACATGGAATTTGATACTATAGACAAGGAAGATATTAAGAGAAAAAATCTTGAAGTCTTTGCTTTCAGATAGGTTAAAGTTTGGTTAAAACTGTGAAGAAAGAGTTAGGACTAGAATAATTATATTCTTATAGAGAAGAAATAAAAAAAGTGTGGTGAGAGACTGCAAGAGAAATATTTTCCTCTTTAATGGCTAGGGAATGGAAAGAAAGAGGCATCTTTTTCGTGATTATATGTGAGAATGGTAAGAAGAAGACCTTTTTTAATGCAAAAATCTCTCAACCATCAAATCATGGCAGGAAAAATAATTACTTCTGAGTCATGGTATACATAGTCTATATAAATTTTATGTGCAGCTTTGATATACTACTCCTAGCATTAGTATTTTTATGTATTAACATAACTTTTATTATTATTATTAGTGCCCAGAAGAAAACAAGAGAGACCTACAGGAAACAAGGAGGAGGGGCTGGAGAGTCACATGGCACCGGGAACTTCCAATGAATGGAGAATGTATTTTGAGGGACTATTGGGTGTGGGTGGTGGAGAGAATTGAGACTGTAAGAATATTTTTGTGAAAAGAGATAATCAGCAGTTTGGATAGGGAGATTACATCTTATGAAAAATATATGAAGCAAGGCAATGTCCCAAAAGGTACTTCACAACCCAAACCAATCAATAAGTCATATGATTCATACATGAAGCCTTAGAGTTTGCAGCATCACTTGTGAAATACTAACATGCTCAGCCAAGTGCAGTGCCTGCTGATATCTTGGCAAAATGCTCTTCACACCAACCCTGACTAAGATCTGCTTCCCCTCCCCACAAAGGTCTACCCCAAAGAGCCTTACAAAAGCTATGTCCTTTTCAGGTTTAACTTTAGGGGGTTCTGCCTTATGAAAACCATGATTCACACGATCGAGGAGATTACCGAAAAGGGCATTTTACCCATCATCACTTTGGGCTATCAGGTCTTTGAACTGTGTTTCGGTATACCCAAGTCTGTGAAAGCAGCTTTCGTAGTCCTTATGGGGCAGGAAGAAAACAAGCCCAACTTCGGAAACAGTACTGGAGCATTTCTGGCAGGAACTGTTGGAGCAAGTGGATCGTCCTTAACGACGGCTTCTTCAGGAGTTCCTGGGCTGTATTATACACCTCAGGTACCTCAGGTTGTTGTGCTAGGTACTAATTGGTAAAGAAACACAGCTCTGTTTGTGGACATTATAGCAAATAGCAAGGAGCTCAGGTGAGCTGGGATAAGTTGCAGAGACAAACAGGGATGGTGGTGATGCGGCTGCTCCTGATTACTGAGCTGGATCCTGCCTCAGCAAGTGTGACTTGGTGCCTATGTGGAGGTGGCTTCAGACTCCTCTACATTCCTTTGGATTCCTCCTTCATTTCTGGCTGGGGGCTGTGATCTAATGATTAGTATGTTAACGTCTCACTAGGCACTACATACTGTAGCAGGGGGTGAAGCCCAGAGTAGGTGATGAGGAAATACTGCTTGGTTGGTTGGTTGATTGTGGTATACACAATGCATTTTGTTTCTTGTCTGTATTAATGCTTATTGTTAATGACCCTTTTTGTTCTATACTCTAACATACTGAAATGTGACACAGACACCGGCCCGCAGTGTCTTCAGCATTGTAGATGAGACGAGACAATTTCACGTGGACCACCAAAGTCCTGTGGAGGAAAAGGGATGGCACAGCCACTCTCTCAAGGGGAGAGCACCCTGACCCTTGCTTTGACAGGCTTTTATTAATAGCATATGTACATCAAAGGAGGTTTTCATTCGTTATACTTAGCTTTGCTTTAGGTAATTACTTTTAACAGATAGCAATGGAAGGGATGTTACTGACTACTTCTTACAGATTAACATGGAAAAAATGTTGCAAATGCAGGGGAACGATAAGAGTAATTGGTCTGGTTACACTTCAGTCCTTGGGAGAATTAGCAGACTTCAGGAAGTTACTTTAAAGGTATACAGTAAGCATTTGCTGCCTCGACTCAGGGTAAGGGAGTTTTAGAAAGAGCAAGTCACAAAGCAGCCCAGGTATAATGCAGGCCTGGTTTCCCATTGGGAGAGCCGATCCGTGGGTTTGGTGTCCTGAGTGCCACCACACGCCTATGGCCTTTCCCATAGGGCTGAGCTACATTTGCCATTCCATGAAGATAGGTTCCCTATAGAAATGAGCCTGGAAATTTTATAAGACAGCTAGAGTGTTAGAAGGATAACTTTATGGATTGTTTTAAATTCAGAGACAGTGACATGTTTTAACTTCAGAATAGATAATAGTAGGAAGAATGGGTTATTAAGAAAATATAAAGTTCTACAATTTCTATGGATGGCTCATTATAGTATCAATAGTCAAGATTTATGAATATGAATGATAATTAAGCTTATTTGTATTACCAAGTACTGGGAGGATTTGAAATAATTGTGAAAAGGGGCATTTACATAGCATAGTATTTTTTAGAGGCCTGCCAATTCAAATTGCAGAAGCAGCAGGAAAACACTGAGAAATAGAACCAAGAGGAGGGGCTGGGTGGTACAGCTGATGCCGTGGGTGTGGAACTATTGCAGCTCAGACTGCGGCTGCTGTGAGCTCTGCCTTCCACCAGACACCTGTCACCCAGGCACCGGCCAGAGGCCTCTGAATATAGATTCCCCATTTAAATCCTTGATGTAAATCTGCAGGAAAGGTAAAAGAAATCTTTTATTCAACACTTTTACATTTGTTGTTTCACTTAAGGTACTGAGTATATCAAATCATTAAAATACATAACATGTATTTTATATAACAAGTATATTATTCTTTATAATATACTGAATATATATTAAGCATACTTAATATGCTTGAGATATAGATATCATTACTCAGATTTTACTTGTAGGGAAACTGAGGGTCAGAAGTTTCAAGTGACTTGGCCATAATCTTATACTAATTATGCAGCCAGAATTACAAATCAGGTGTCTCTGCATCCTAAATGAGATCCCCCTATATATGACTTGCCTGATGTTGCTGCTTATGAGTTTCCAAAGAATGTCAACTTCAGCCAAAGGAATAGGAATAGGACAAAGGGTAGAGAAACAAGAAAATAGGACTATTATGTCACTTGTGAAAGAATCGATAGTCATGAAACTGTGGAGTTATAACATAGGAGGTCCTATTGGAGGTGGTGTATGATTTAATAACATGGAGTGGGAATGGGGCGGGTTAGGGGAGAATGTGACCTAAGTTCTTCACGGTAGTATCAGGGAAAGTGAGAGTAAAGTGCAGCAGAAATGCATGTAAGACTGTCAGGAAGTCATGCTACTGAATCCTTAAGTTCTCACTGGTGACACATACACACAGGGATCACTGGCGTAAGAAAAAAAATGCTTCTATATTTATCTAGGCAGTACCTATAAAATGAGGACTTCCAGTAACTTGGCCGAACGTGACTTAGACCTGAGATTGAAGTGGTGCTTCCTACCACCTTTCTCAGTCTGAGTTTTGTAACCTAAACATTCAACAGTCCTGGCAGAGAGAAGCAAAGAAAGTTGAGGGGAGAGAAGGAGGGAAAGTAGTTATGGAGAGAGAGAGGGAGAAAGAGAGAGAGAAAGAGGGGAGGGAGAGATGAGTTAGATCTGAGGAAGTCTGGGTGGCTCAGCTCACACACCTAGTCTCAGGAGAGGAGAGATGAAAGGGCGGGTGAATGAATGCGGTGAGCCCACCTGTGAAAAGTGGTGCAATGAATGCTAATTATCTCAATAATTAGCTCTTCCACCTCCCTTGGGTGAGATGGGAAAAGGTGGATAAGGAAGCCCAAAGTGTTCCCTCAATAGTCCCCACCCACTGAGTAGGGAGAAGAGCAGAAATCTTTTTGTTGATGGAAGGACATGAGAATAAAGGGAGAAGAACTGTTAAATTCTGTCCCTCACCAATAAAAATATTCGGAGATTGTGTAATTTGAGATTGTGTTATTGCTTTCTAATAACTGCATGCATATTTTCAACTGTAGGTGGGTTATGCTTCTACCTCCTCAATGCTTAGTGACAAATATCAGCTTCTATCTTATCTTCATACAGTAGCCAGTGATAAGTTCCAGCTGGAGGCCTTGGTAAGTCTTATCCAACACTTTGGTTGGGTCTGGGTCAGCACAATTGCAGCTGATGATGATTGTGGAAAATATGGACTATAATTTTTTTAAAGCTCTGATTTGTAGGGCTCCCTTATTCCTGTGATGTAAATACTCCCATATGGCCAACTTCAAGATATTGAGTTTGTAACAAATCATTCATAGAATTCCAGAATATTTAACAATTGGCTCTAGTGCACTAATCAGAGGCACCACCGATGCTACAGGTAACCTCTTTTTTTTTAAGATTTTGTTTATTTATTTTTCAGAGACAGAAAGAGAGGGAGAAAAACATCATTGTGTGGCTGCCTCTCGCACACCCCCCACTGGGGATCTGGCCCACAACCTAGGCATGTGCCCTGACTGGGAATCGAACCAGCAACCCTTTGGCTTGAAGGCCTGCACTCCATCCACTGAGCTACACCAGCCAGGGCTTGGAGTACAAACTTTTAAGGAAAAAATGGAGCATGCCAACCTCTGTATCACATTCTCTGAAACCTTCCCCAAAGTCTATTCCAATAAGAAAACACAAAAAGCTATTGATGCTATAAAGAAATCCACTGCCAGAGTCATTGTACTTTATGCATCTGATACTGAACTTAGTCCTTTCATGCTAGAAATGGTTTACTGTAACATACCTGGCAGAATGTGGACAGTGAGCGAAGCCTGGATACTTCCCATATTTAGGTGGAAGCATTGGATTTGAAATACCAAGAGCCGATATACCAGGTTTAAAAGAATTTCTTCATGATATTCATCCTGTCATGGATCCAAAGGATGTTCTGACCATTGAATTTTGGCAAACTGCTTTCAACTGTACTTGCTGCGATAGTATTGTTCCACACAGCACTGACCACAGAGTGAATATGACTGGTAAAGGGGACAGGTTGTATGCCATGCCTGATACATTCTGTACTGGAGAGGAGACGTTGGAGGATCTTAAAAATGCTTATCTGGATGTGTCTCAGCTAAGAATTATAAACAATGTCAAGCAAGCTGTCTATTCTCTGGCTTACACCTTGGATGGTCTAAGTCGGTGTGGAGAAGGACATGGGCTGTATATGACAGGAAACCACTGTGCATGTGTACCTGACTTTGAACCTTGGGAGGTAAGCTGTTGTTTTTGTTTTATTTCGTGATATAGTTTGAGAAAAGAATGCATACTAATAAAACCTTTGATTTGCTTTTGTATGTGATACACATGATTTTGTCCCATGCTCACTGAAAAGAATGGCTTTCTTGTGTGACCTAAATGGGCATTTTTAAGTTCTCATTTGTTAACAAAGAGTTATTATTAGGTTTATTGTGACTCCAGGAAAGAATACCCCCCAAAATAATGCATTAAACAAGATAGGCATTTTTTTTTTTTCTGTGTACATGCCCTGGCCAGGGACCAAACCTGCAACCCAGTCATGTGCTCTGACCGAGAACTGAACTGGCAAAAGCTTTGCAGGATGCCACCCAATCCACGTAGCCACACTAGTCAGGACTAGAGATTAGCATTCTAAGACTGAAAAAGTGGCTTATGGATCCAAGTTCCTACCACTTCTTCATCTCACTGTCCTCAATATGTGGATTCACCTTACACTTTCAAGTGGCTATGTGGGCTTCACCATCATGTCTGCGCTTTAACCACAAGGATTAAGAAAGGACAAAGATGTGTACATCTCTCCATTTAAGGATATTTCTTGGAAATTACACACAATTCCCCTGACATTCCATTAGGCAGAATTTAGTTGCACGCTCATGTCTAGCTGCAAGGGAAACAGAAATGTGTAGTCTTTATGCAGATGGGAGGCGCACGCAAGGGCATGAGGCCTGGAGGTGAGATTATCGGGTGTCATCTTGAAAATGCAGCTTTCATATCTCCTGTCTCAGGTCTGATGTCCCAGAAATTTATTTTGGGACGCAGTAGTGCGAATGATCTCACCAAGATGCACACCTAATCAGAGTGCCCCTCTGTGTACATCCTTCAGTTTGTCCCCTCCTCCCGGAAAGCATGAAGCACGGGCATCCCTGGCCTGGCACTGTCAGCCCCCACCCCGTGCTCTGCGCCCTGTCAGCACCTCTGACTTTACCACTTCTTTTGGGACCCTCAGCACTGTATTCTCCAGCAACTCTTAATTGCTTGTCACTCCCACAAGCCCACAATAACTGGAACCACTGCATCTTCATTTGTATTTTTATTTCTAGATCGATTCCAATTGCATTTAGTTTTCTATCTCTTTTAATAATGTGACAAGAGTAGGGAATGGATTTTGTTGCTCTTCACGTCTCTAGCACCTGACCTTTAGGGAAGAGAATGGTGGTAACAGGGTAGACTGGTACCTGTAAGTGAAAGAAATCTAAGAGACAAGTCAACATATCCTTCTTCCCTAGATATGGGGGCATTAGGAAATATTAGGCACCACTTTGCCTTAGTATAGATCAGAGCTGTCCCATGGAAATATATGAGCCACACAGGTAATTAAAATTTTTCTAGTAACCAAATTAAAGGAATGAAAAGAGACAGATTAAATTAAATTTAATTATCTTTTTTTTTAAGATTTTTGTTCATCCATTTTTAGAGAGGGAAGGGAGGGAGAAAGAGAGAGAGACATCAATGTGAGGTTGCTGGGGGCCATGGCCTGTAACCCAGGCATGTGCCCTGACTGGGAATCGAACCTGCGTTGCAGCCTGCGCTCAATCCACTGAGCTACACCAGCCAGGGCGAAATTTAATTATCTTTTATATGAAGCCCAATAATAGTTTAACGTGTGGTCATAATATAATAATATAAAATATTAACATGAAATTATTAATGAGAATTTCATTTTCTTTGAACTAAAACTTTGCAAATCCAGTTTGTATTCTATACTTAGAGCCCATCTCAATTTGACCAGCCCCTTCCTCCCTTCCTTCATCTTTCCTCTTTTTCTTTTTGAAACAGGAAAAATTAATTTTATTTATTTTTTAAATGATTATTAATTTTATTTTTTTCCATCACCATTCAGTCCCCTGATACCTCCCTCCCCACTGCTATCACCATAATGTTGTCCTTGTTCACAAATCTTTTTTCCTTTTTGCTCAATCCCTCCCTCTCTAATCCTCCACCCTAGAGCTGTCAGCCTGCTCTCTATCTATGAGCCTGTCTCGTTTTGCTTGTTAATTCAGTTTTAGATTCCCCATATGAGTGAAGTCATGTGGCACTTGTCTTTCTCTGACTTGGCCAGCCACTTTCAGGTTTTAATTGTCACATGTGGCTAGAGGTTGTCATATTAGACAGTTAAGAGAGAGAAAAACAAAAAAATATCCAATCTCATGACTTGGATTACTTTTGAGATTGTTTTCTTTATAGAATCTGTTTTCTAGGCAAATTTTTACAAATTGCTTTTCTCTCTGTTGTTTCCCCTCTTGTTTTGTAGTTCACATACTATTTGAAGACACTTAAGTTTACTACTCATAATGGAATGAGAAGAGAAATTGATGAAAATTGATGAAAATTGAGGAGAATGAAATTGATGAAAATTTTCATCTCCATTTTGGATACTATGGACTGGATACTATGATGTTCTAAACTGGCAATTAGATGACAATGGGGAGATTGCTTCTGAAGGTTGGAGAATATATATTCACTGACTCTGAGTTTGAACTTGTGATGAAAAAGGATGTGACCGTATTTTGGAACACCCAATCATCAGAGGTTAGTTACTCTGACATCTTATTTTGTTTACATATGCAGAGAATTGCATTTCCGTATTGTTTCAGGCATTTGGAAATATTAGACACCTAGAGTTGATTATTCTGAGTCAATTTTCCCAAGTACAGCACATATATTTTCTATATATAGATTCAGATCTTTTGTTTTGGGGACATTTTCTTGGATTATAGTTTTAAGTATTAATTCTATTATGTTTTCTTCAGAGTATTTGATTCCCTTTGTCTTCCATTTTGTTCAACTTTCTCTCTGGTAATTTTTGCCTTTGTCTTTATCACATCCTCACTCCCTTGGTTGTTTCCTTACTTTCTTCAATGCCCCATATTAAATTTTTATTCAAATAGAATAATTTTTTAATTCCTTATAACTTTTATCATAATATCTAAAACAATTTTGTTATCGTTTAAGTTTCTTTTCTGAGAAAAATAAACTTTTAAAAATTTCTTCTAGTTTTATATCCATTTATGTTTTTCATTTTAAATATCTGATTTATTTCGAGTCAGGTATTCCTGCTCATCTCCAAATGCTCTTCTGAGAATATTTAACTGTAATGCTGGTATATTTATTTAACATGCTGCGCTATAGTATTCTTCTGGCCAATCACGTGTGCATTTGTTTTGGAGGGGAATCTTAATCTGCTGGAATGTTTTGATTTTCATTTTGTGTTTTTTACCTATAGTAAACCTCTATCACAGCACAATTTGTAGGTTATTTCTATGGCCAAGGATGAGAATTTTGAGTGTCTTACAAGTCCCTATTTCACTGCCTTCCTTTGTTAGTCAAATGAACAGCAGTTTGTTTCTGCAGGATTTCTTAAATTCCCCTTTTTCTTCTTTCCCTCTCTACCACATCTTCAAAAGGCACTTCTCCCTCTCTGCACCTTCTGGTCCCTTCCTGAAACTGTCCCCATGAGTCCTACTTGCAAGAACTTTCCCTATAGCCAGTGTTGTCTCTACAAGACTTTGGACCTGTTTTAATGTGGGATGGGCATTTTCTTTCCAGGGCTGATTTTGTCTGCTCTCCATAAACCTTAGGTTCTCTGCTCACTCTTCCTCTTCCCTGACAGTTTTCCTGGACTTCTCTCATTTCCCACACATCCAGGTATGAGCAGGGGACTCTAGAGATGGTTTTGCTGGAATTTAGTGGGTATATTTTTACTTACAAATACTACAGGGTCTGTCAGAAGTAAGACTTGCTTGAGCATGGTTTCTAGGGTGTGTGAATGTCTCTCATGAGATGGGCAGCAATTTGAACATTTCATTTCACCTAAATGTCATATGGTATGCTTGAATGTGATGTTGTTATGTTACAGAATTACATGCTTATGATTTTGTAATAAAGGATTTTGTAATAAAAAGGGGGCAGTATTTGTGCTGGTCTCTGTATAAAGTTAATGATATTCTCAGGCTCTTTATGATGCTGCAGTTGCAGGTCATAGATGGTTTTTTAAAATTTTAAAACTATGTATGATCTTTTTCAGAGGATGTATATAGTGATGCACAGTTTACCAGCTACCATTTCCCTGGGGCAACCCAGAGGTCCCTCCTACTCTCTCAGACAGTAGTTCTAGAGAGATTTCATTTCTTCCCTCCCTTTTTCTTCTGCTGTATTTCCACGGTCAAAGAATGGGAAGGAAGTTTACCAATTCATAATATAATTTGAGGTGGGAACACTAGCTACCTCATACATGTATGGTCACACATGCATGTCAATAAGCTTTCATGTGTCACTCAAAACACTTTTGTTGAGAGGTATAGGAGAGAAAGATGAGTTTAATAAGCTTTAAAAATCCTAAGAAAGTATTGTTTTTAAAAATTTTCTGACAGGTAGCAGAAATAAGGCCTGTGGGTTAAATATATTGGTTTTGGATATAAAGTATTTACCCTAGATAAAAAGCTGTTATGTCATAGATTCATTATTAATACTAAATTAATTATTTTATTATTTATTATTAATTATTGAACTTGTTTGTTTAGAATATTTTATTTTTAATTATTTAATATTTAGAATTAATTTTTTTATTTTTAAAAAAGATTTTATTTATTTATTTTTAGAGAGAGAAGGGAGGGAGGGAGAGAGAGAGAGAGAGAGAGAGAGAGAGAGAGAGAGAGAGAAACATCAATGTGCGGTTTCTGGGGGTTATGGCCTGCAACCCAGGAATGTACCCTGGCTGGGAATCGAACCTGGGACACTTTGGTTCGCAGCCCGCGCTCAATCCACTGAGCTATGCCAGCCAGGGCTAGAATTTATTTTAAAAAATATTTTTCTTTTTTAATTACAGTTGACATACAATATTATATTAGTTTCCAGTAAACAATGCAATGATTAGACATTTATAAGCTATTATTACAATTTTATTCCTTCTCTTCTTATACCAACAGGAGAGCTTTCCTTTTTCAAAAATTATTTTTCGATTACAGTTGACATTCAATATTATTTTGTATTAGTTTCAGGTGTTCAGCGTAGTGTTTAGAAAATCACATGCTTTATAGAGTGACTCCCCCTCGATATTTCCAGTACCCACCTGGCACCATACATAGTTATTACAATATTATTGACTATATTCCCTAGGCTGTACTGAACATCCCCGTGATTATTTTGCAGCTACCAATTTGTACTTTTTCATCCATTCACCTTTTCCACTCAGTCCTCCAACCCCCCTTCCCTCTGGCAATCATCAGTCTATTCTCTGTGAGTTTGTTTCTATTTTGTTTGTTTGTTTATTTTGCAAAAGCAGATCTTGACATGTAGGACTGAGAGGTGGTTGGTGTGCTAAAGATGGGGGTCCTCTGGGTATACAATGTAGAGACAACACCCAGAGATGTGTTGGGGAAAGCCAGGAAGAAGCCTGATCACTAACCAGAAGTTAAGAAGAAACCAGACAGCTGAACTTTTTACCTTTAATGAAATATTAGTTGTAGGAGAGTAGGATTATAGTGCTTTTGATATTCTAGTTTAGTGTTTACTACAGGGTGACCTGTGGGTTACAGTAAGATGATAGGGTGGTGGAAAAACATTGGCAATTTAATCTTCCACGTGAATCTCAAAATAAAGGAACCAGTGAGAGAGAGAGAGAGAGGGGGAGAGAGAGAGAGAGAGCATGAGCTTGAGCACTAGCTGAAAGTGAGTGTCAGGATAGCCAGCATTTTAAATTTGCTGCCTAAATAGCATTTTTTTAAAGGGCATGTGTCTTTTTACCATATTGTTTTTTATTTATCTCCCCTCTAATTGTGTGGCCCTTTTGACCCGAGGGCTTAGACCTACAGTCTTTCAAATTATGCTGGGAAAGGTTCCACAGAAAAGTGGCAAGGGAATTAGGATTTCTGAGCTGCCATGCTGTGCCAGACACCTAGGAGAACGTTTTTTTTTTAAATCTCTTAATCTTTTTTTTTCTTTTTGCTTTCCCTGGGTAGCTAAACATATATAAACTCACACATGCTCACAAAAGCACACACCCACATGCATACATGCACACTACTTTTCTCTTGGCCCACTCTTAAGCAGCATTTGAATACTAATGACAGGATATAAAGATAAAAACCTTATTAGTGTTTGCCACTGTAGGGGCATTTTATTTTTGACCTAGAGCTGCTGCCCAATACAGTAGCCCCTAGTTACAGGTAGCTTTTAAAATTTAAATTAATTAAAATTAAATAAAGTTAAAAATGCAGTTCCTTAGTCACCTTAGCTGCATTTCAAGTGCTCAACAGTCATATGTGGCTAGGGGCTGTCATATGTGGCTAGGGGCTACCATATCGGGCAGCACAGATACCTAAAACTTCTGTCACTGCAGAAAGACAGAGCTGCCCCAGACCCAAACTATAAACCATCTTCTGTGGCCCAGAGCCCTCTCGCTGAGTGGAGCCTGAAACTTTTGTATTCCTAATACTAGGCATGTAGTAGATATTCAATATACTGTTTAACATTAAAAAAAGTAGAAGTTGTTACCGCTTGTACATACAAAAATACATAGACTGCTCCTTCTACTAAAAATTGATGGAAAAATAATAAAGTGTAATAATATATTTCTATTTTAATATTGCTTCATTAGAGCATAGTAATATTATTTTTCTCATTTTCTTTATTGAAATTGGGGATATATTTGCATAATAAAATTGGTTGAAATGCAGTTCAACACCAATTTGCGAAGCACCTACTAAGAGTTCACCTCTGTGTTCAGCATTACAGAAGAACCCGCTGTCCTCAGAGCACTTACAACCTAACTAATGAAGTGAGTGAGCAAATACTTATCAGTACAGTATCATATGTGCTTGACACTGTTCTAGGAACTGGGAGTGCGTCAGTGTACGAACCAGAACAAATCCCTGTCTAATGGAGCTAACGTTTAAGTGGGAGCAAATAGGAAATAAACAAGATAAGTAGATAAATTATATATTATCTTAAAGGGTGATAATGTTACAGAGAAAAAAACAGCAGAGGCTGAGCTAGAGAGTACCGGTGTGAGTGTTGCAATTTCACATAATGTGGTGAAAAAGGCCTCCTGGGGGCACATTGGAATAAAAGCTATGAGGACACGAATTCCTGCATTATCTCGGCAAGAGCATGTCAGGCAGAGGGCACTGCAACTTCTAAGCCTCGAGGGCAGGGCCGTGCTTGGCTTTTTGGAAGAACACCCAAAAAGCCAGAGTAGCTGGAAAGAATGAGAGAAAGGGGGCGGGGATAGTAGAAGAGGAAGAGAAGGGGGTCACGCAGGGCTTATTGGATAGTAAAGGACTTTGGCTTTTCCACTGAGTGAAAAGAGGGACCACAGGAGACCCTTGACACAGGAGAGTCATGACCTGATTTAGGTTGAAAACTAGATGATGGGAGTGGAGAAGGGAAGGGATACTGAGAGATGAAACAAAAGGCCTCCACTCATCGTTCTGAGCGCTCTTTTCAGAAGACTGTGTCAGGGGAGAGGAAATCCGGTTCATTCTGCAGAGACACAGACACGCACATCTTGTAAGAAGCCTATCTATCGTGTATAGTACTAATATATATATTTTAGTAATGTTACACACCATAACTGAACTCAGAGATTTCTAGTATGTCGCATTGTTACACAATTCAGATTTTACATGAGAAAATTCCGATTTCTAAAATAAATATAAATGTGATTATTCACTTTCCAAAATAAATCTTTTCTAATATACAGATGGTAGATTATAGAAGCATGCCCTGAAACCCATACAATTTCATTAACTAATGTCACCCCAATAAATTCAATAAAAATAAAAAGAAAATACATCTTATCTCCCTTTTAAATGGGAAGCCCTTCATTTACATCCCATTGTAAACGGATTTACAGACATTGTGTTTGCACTGGGGCTCCAGGGGCATGCCCCTGGAGAATGTCAAGGGCACCTGCGTGGGCCATTGAGATGTCTACACGTTTTGTGAGAAATCAGCCCGGGGCTGTGCCTTGTGCGTTCTTCCTGTTTGGTGTGCCAGTTATTCCCACGGAACAGATCTTTCATTTTCTTTTCTGCTATGATGCATCCTTCCTTGGCTTTCAGATTATCCTGGGACGACGTTGTGAGAAGAAATCTTTTTCAGGCTCTCAAGATAATTTTGGGGTCACAAGCCCCTCCCAAACAGGAACAAATTTGTCAAATTGTCCCCTCCGCAGAGTTCCAGGGGCACAGAGTCTAGTTTGAGTCCCTGAAGTTGGAAAGAGCTAGCTTTAGCAGTAGCTTAGCCTATGCAGAATCAACCTCATGACTGACTTTTTAGCAAAATTCCTCCTTGGGCAGTTCATGTTGTTATGCCCCGTATCTGTTGTCCTTGCCCAGCTGTCCTGGGTTTCCCAAGATATCACGAGACTTCCACAGAAAACCAGACAGGAGCTCGCTTGGCATCACAAGTGGTGATGACAAATACATGCGCCATTTTTGCCTTTGTTAGCTTCCCTATTCGGCATGCACGGATGTGTGCCGTGTGCACGGGTGTGTGCCGTGTGCATGGATGTGTGCCGTGTGCACCGATGTGTGCCGTCCGGGACCCGGAAGAGGATTCATCAGGGGAACCAATGTGCTGCTTTGACGCTGTCCCAGGTGCTGGTGGACACGTGTTCACGGGAACCAGGTACAGATGGTCATTTTTTTCATTGACATAAAAATGCAGTTAGGTTAAACATGCTTTGGCAAAAGATTCTTGGGAAGCTGCTATGAAAATAGGTATGAACAACTTATAACGAATATCATTATAGTCCATCAGACTGTTGGATGTTCTGTGCGGTCTGAAAAAAAAAATACCGGGATTTAGTTCTAAAGCTGAAACAGCTGGGAAAAAGACCCGCATCCATGAATTTGAGAGGAAACTTATTCTGACAATTAAAAAATTATTTATTTTTAGAGAGGGGGAAGAGAAAGAGAAGGAGAGAAACATCAATGTGCAGTTGCCTCTCATGCCCCCACACTGGGGACCTGGCCCACAACCCGGCATGTGCCCTGATTGGGAATAGAACCAGCGACCCTTTGGTTCACAGTCTGGCACTCAATCCACTAGGCTACACCAGCCAGGGCTAGAGGACATTTTTTTAAAATGTGAACTATGAATAAATGAATTCATAAAAAGTATTTAAAGTTATTTTGGTTTCTGAAATATATTAAACATTAATTATGAAAAATAGTAGATGGAAAAATAAATGAATTTTAACTCTGTTTTACTAAATTATTTCTAATTTGGAACTATAAGATCAAGAATTCCATCCCTAAAGACAATTGACTTAAAACCATCATTATGTAGGTTTGTGGGACCGAGGAGTCCAGTGGCTATTGCCCCATGAATTCTTCACTACACCTGCTGAGTGTGTTGCTCTTCATGACCAGAATTTTAGTTGGGCATGGTATATTTAGCCTTATGAAGCATGCCAGAGGAGGCTTATTTTAATCTCTACCTTTTGTTAAAGATAATACAAACTATACTTGCCTTTTTGTCAAAAGGCACTCAATAAACATTTGTTTAAAAGAACATTTTTAAAAATTAAAATTTCCCCAAATGGAAGACAAGCATAATGTCACCTGAATAATCCCTTGTTCCCCCTGTGGCCCAGTCCCTGCACAGTCACATCAGGAGAAGGCCAGTCCAGCAGCCAGAGCAATAGAAAGGGAATTCCAGTCTGTATCTGCATCTTTCAAAGAATGTGGAAGAGCTCTCTTTCCTAATCTACCACAACTTTATCTCAAAGAACTTTTTTATATTTCACAATATTCTCCCTTAGATCCTTTGCCCAGCTAAATGCCCCAAACGTTTCCTCAACCTTAGTCAACATGGTTGTTATTTCTGTTTCCCTTCTTGTTCTCAGGACTTCGCTACTTCTCTCTAATCCGCGTCCAGAGGGTGCCTCTGGAGGGCAGAGCAGAGCAGGCAAAGACCAAGTTCTCTTCAGTAGGTAGGAGTGGCGTCAAATGGAAGACTGAAAACACTCACATTTTAATCAGTCTTATCCCTGTCATAATCCTTTTGATTATTTCACATTGGTAGCTTTAATTTTCTCATATACGGGAAATACTTTGTGAATTTTTCTGGGGCTTATGAGGATACACACAATTAAATAATTGGAAGAGGAAGAAAAAGGTATGACTCTGCACAAAGCCCATGCAGGAAGGGCTGAAACAGAGAAGGGAGACTGAATTTCCAAGAGTGAAAATAATTCTCAATATATAATGTTAGCTGCACACTCCAAGACCATTTTCTCACTGCGTTTTTGGAGAGATTATGGAGTCTTTGTAAAGGGATCTCACCAGGCCTTTGGCTGCTCTGGGCTAGTCAGCACCAAAGGGGGTCGGTTGGATTTCCTTGCAGTCAGTCCTCTGTTTTTTGTTCTTAGGTCAAAGAGAGTGTAATGAATGTGGTGAAGAATATCAGTGAAATGAACAAAAGAGTGAGTGTGTGCTGCAAGAAGTGGAATTCCTTGCTTATGATGAGGCCCTGGGGCTTACTCTTGTCATTCTCTCCATCTTTGGGACGCTTGTGGTTTTGGCCTTCACAGCTGTGTATGTGACGTACGGGCACGCCCCACTGGTGAACGCCAATGCCCGGAGCTGCGCTTTCTCATTCAGGTTTCTCTTGTCATCACGCTGCTGTCTTCCATGCTTTTCATTAGCCAGTCACACAACTGGTCCTGCATGGCCCGCCAGGTCACTCTGGCTCTGGGCCTGTCTTTGTGCCTGTCTTGCATTCTTGGAAAGACTGTTTCATTGTTTTTAGCCTATAGAATTTCCAAATCCAAAACCCGAATTATATCCATCTGCCCCCTTTATTGGAAAATCATTGTGCTAATCTCTGTTCTGGTTGAGATTGGAGTATGCACAGCCTACTTACTATTGAAACCCCCAAGGGTGTACAAGAACATGGAAGGTCAAAATGTAAAGATCATTCTGGAATGTGATGAAGATTCTATAGAATTTTTATGCTTTATCTTTGGAATTGATGTCTTTCTGCCCTTGCTATGCTTTCTTACAACAATTGTGGCTTTCTGGTTGCCTGATAGTTACTAGGAAAGAAAATGCATCACCTTTGGGATGCTGGTCTTTTTCATGGTCTGGATCTCTTTTATTCTTGCTTATTTGAGCACCAAAGGCAAGTTTAAAGTGGCTGTGGAATATTTGCAATCTTTGCATCTGGCTATGGTTTATGGGGTTGTATATTTGCTCATCAGTGCTTCATTATTTTGCTGAGGCCAAAGAGGAACACCCATGAAACTAAACTGTTGGTGGAAGAGTCAGTACTATAGATAAGAGCATCCAACTGACTTCAGCCTCTGTGAGCAGTGAGCTTAACAATACCGGGTGTCAACTGTTCTGGAAGAATAGAGCTGTGAGTTCGGAGCTGCAGTGGTGTAGACATAGGCAGCAGTATGCTGATCATCAGAAAGAAAGGGCAGTGGAGGAGGTAGAGGAGGGTAAAGAGAGGATGAATGGTGATGGAAGGAGACAACTTCGGGGTGGTGAACACACAGTACAATATACAGATGATATCTTACAGAATTGTACACCTGAAACCTATATAATTTCATTAACCAATGTTACTCCAATAAAGTCAATAAAAAAATTAAAAAAAAAGCTTCAGTGGTGATGTGGTTGAACATTCCTTTTCAGGTTGTCTCTGCAGCACCTGCCTGATGCTCTGGGGTACTGCTGAGGATTTGAGTCCTGGTGGTATAGTCTTAGCATGGTGTATGAACTCTCATACTGTAAGATGCCATTTGTCATGAATTAGAATACCCATTCCTACCAAAATTGTAAACCACTTCATTCAAGCATTTCATATGCTTTGGTATAAGGAGAGTACAGTAGAGGATATGATAGGCACAAGTAATCTAAAGTGATGGATAAAAAAATTGATGTCATGTACAGTTTTTTAAATATCATGAGTGGCTGATCTAGAAAGTTACATTAAACAAAATTACCTTGTGGGAACCAAAAGAGACATCTTGTTCTATATTCTGTTGATGCTTCCGTGGAATAAACAGCTTTTTTATGACTGAGGTCAGAATTACAGCTTACAAACTTTCTCTTGGAACAAGGCATTTGGTAAGAGAATTTATGTTTCAAAGGACTCTGTGGCTTACAGAGAATATTGACGGAATTGAGATGTGAACAAAACTTAGTTCCTGCTTGAGTTCAGATTGGGAATACGCATGTTTCTCCCCGGCGGGGGGGGGGGGGAGGCAAAGCCTACCTGCTTCACATTTTCACGGAAAGATGCAATAAAGTATTTGAGTTTCAAAACATTCTTCTACTTGAAAAATGAAAATGAAGGAAGCTAAGATGTCAGCAAAGCAGTTATTAGTTGTTTATACAGTGAATACTGGGAAGGCCAGAAAAAAAAAAAAGGCAAATGCTTACCTAGAGTAGGCATTAGAATTAAAGATTTTTCAGGATAAATGAAATAATAGATATTTGCTCTCCAATTATACAGTGTTAACTGGACTATTTTTTAAAAATATTTGCAACCTTCTTACAGATATGAATCTTTAAAAATGACCTATATATATTTATGTGCATATAAATTAAATGTGTGGAAAAATGGAAGTTGTAGAAATGCTGATAAACCAAATACCCAGTGCAAACTTGACCCTAATAAACCAACAGGACCAGAAAGAGCTCTCTTTTCAAGAGAACTTAATAACGTTTGTGAATATCAATTAACCAATCTGGACAGAGATTTATGCAGGCTTGTGGGTAGGTCTATGAGGATTTTATGTGTTGATTGTTAAAGAATGATCATTCCAGACCAGATGGAGATATGCATTCTGTAATTTAAGTACGATGTTTACGCCAAGGTTTAGCAAAGCTCCAAGCAAACTCACTTGTCATAGGGTGAACAGCATCCTGGTACTTTCTGGGACAGCATCTATTCACCCGGCTGACTCCCAGACTGCTACAGTGCTTTCCTCACAGCCTGGACTCTTAGAAAAGCATGGAGAGCGGGGAAACTGCATCCTTTGTGCCCTCACTCGACCTAGGGATGGACTTTGGAAAAGGGTAGAGGGGAGGGAATTTCAGTGGAAAAGGGTAAGGGTTTGCAGGAACAAGTATAAAGGACACATGGACAGTAACAAGAGGGGTGGAAATGGGAGGGAGGAAGGGAGGGCTGGGGGGTGGGCTGGGATGGGGGTAAAAGGCAGAGAACTGTACTTGAACAACAATTAAAAGAAAATTAAAAAAAAAAAAGGATGGTTTGCCAAAATATCAAGCAATGGGAAAATGAATAATCCATTTATTTTCTAAAATGTTGATTATTGAACCTACAATGTCTAAAAAGACAATTCCAGAAGCCCATCTGGGCAGAATCAAAGTTTTCATGATCTCTTTTCATACCAGATGGGTCAGTAATACTGTCTTACTGGACTTGTGTTCTTCGCTATTTATTTCTCTAATCAGCACATGTTTGGGAAATTAGAGAAAATAAATGTTATTAAAAACAAAATATTAATTGAACTTGCATGTTTAATTTTAATGTTTACTTGTACAACTTTACCATTTGAAGATACAACTATTATCTAAAATGGTCTAAAATGATCGCTTGTTGATTTAGTACACGCTCATTGTCATAGAAACCAGCTTCTGGCGGACAAATTAAATAATATGTGGTTGTCAAAGGATGATGGTCTAATTTTTAGTATTGATTTATTCTTTGTATTTAATTGCTTATCAAGTAGTAAAATGTTTTTCATAACATTAAAAGATAATTTCTCTTATGATGAATGTATCATTTAAAAAATATTTCTAGTAAAAAAAAAAAGACTGGAACTTCTATCAGCAAATCTTGCCTTATAAGAGAATCTCATAGACCAGTCAGTCACTAGTGACACCCCCTGCTCTGGGTGAGCATTTGCTGGTAACTGCAGGCGAGTCCTTGGGTGGGGGGGGCTCAGAGTTAATTTCAGGGTGTTGCATCAAAATAATGCAGCTGCTGGCTTGTGGAGGAGCATAAGGACTAATTGATTGAAAGAAAAAAACTGCAGAACACTTTACTCAAGGCTGATGTAGACGCACGTAGGTTTAAACTGTTTTATTTATTTGTTTTTAACTTTATTATTTACACTATTACAGATGTCCCAATTTTTCCCCCTTTACCCATCTCTACCCAGTGCTCGCCCATCCTTCCTTCAGGCCACCACACTGCTGTCTGTGTCTGTGGGTTATGCATACACATTCTTTGGCTAGTCCCAGTGCCCCCTCCTCCCTCTCCTCTGACATCTGTCGGTCTGTTCCATGTGTCCATGACTTTGTTTCTATTTTGTTCACCATTTTATTTTATTTTGCTCATTAGATTCTGTGTATAAGTGAGATCTTAAGTGAGGTGTTTGTCTTTCACTAACTGGCTTATTCCACTTAGCATAGTTATCTCCAGGTCCATCCATGCTGTCCTAAAAGGTAAGAGTTCCTCCTTTTTTTTTTTGTTGCTGTGTAGTGTTCCATTGTGTAAATGTACCATAGCTTTTTTATCCACTCATCTACTGTTGGGCACTTGGGCTGCTTCCAAATCTTGGGTATTGTAATTAACACAGCTATGAACATAGTGGTGCATATATTCTTTCGAATTGGTGTTTTGGGATTCTGAGGATATATTCCTAGAAGTGACAGCGATCCACTGTCAAAAGGCAGTTCCATTTTTAAATTTTTGAGGAAGCTTCATACTGTTTTCCACAGCGGCTGCACCAGTCTGCGTTCCCACCAGCAGTGCATAAGGGTTCCCTCTCCTCCACATCCTCACCAGCGCTTGTTGTTTGTTCATATATTGGTGGTAGCCATTCTGGTAGGTTTGAGATGATATCTTGTTGTGGTTTTAATTTGCATTTTTCTGATGGTTAGTGACATTTAGCATTTTTTTCATATGTATATTGGCTATCTCTGTGTCACACAGATGGTTTGTACTATTTTAGAAAAAGGAATGTTTATCAGGGCTGCTCAAATCCACACCATAAGATCAATTCTTTTGAAAACCAGTTCTTTTGGGTTAAGGCAAAGAAGATTTCTGATATAAAGTGAATATATTTAAAAAAAAGATATTCTCAATGTCGGGTTAGTATCCTTAAAGCACAGTTCTGATCTCAGCCCTTCCCTGTTTCTCAACTTCCTGTGGCTTTCTGCTCTCTAAAGCATGAGTTCAGCTATCTTAGCCTGACACTCAAAACCCTAGTAACAGTTTTGCATCTTCTATTTTCAACATTTGTCACCTGCCACCTTCCTGCCCACATCCGTATAACACAATCCAGGTATACTTCTGCAATTCCTGGAGCCTGCTTTCTATTTTCCTGATTTCATGTGGCTCATATGATCCCCCTTTTCCTCTAGTGCTCTAATAGCCTTCCTTCCTTCCTTCCTTCCCTCCTTCCTTCCTTTCTTCCTTCCTTCCTTCCTTCCATTCATCACTGAAGGCTTGGTGTGCACGAGATTCAGAGTTAGGCATAGAAGATGTATCAAGACAAAGCTTTGTCCCTGCTTCCTGGTACTTACCATCATTTAGGATGATAGGTTATACATTGGCAATTATCTTATCGTAGTTTTAATTTTTAACATTTAGCTATTAACTACATCTGGAATTTCTTTCTGTGTGTGGTGTGTGGATGCTGTAGCTTTACAGTTGTATTACAATGGTTAACCTGTTGTTCCAATACCAATTTAATGGAATAGCTTATATTTTCTCCACTGCTTTGAAATGCTATATTTATCTTTTACTAAATGTTCATATATCCATGAATGTTTTTCTGGATTCTGGGTTTTTTTTTTTTGCCCTATTTTTCTGTCTGCTAGTACCATACAGTTTTTATTTTTAGAAACTTTCGTATGTTTGCTCTTGTGTAGAGGGTTTCTGCTGTGGCAGGTCTGGTATAGAGGCTCCCTGAGCACCCATTCCAATTCTTTTCAGAAGTGGGGAGACTGACAGCTACATTGCACAGATGCTCTTGCACTTGCACTTCTGTTTGACATTTAATATTTAGAAGGCAAAGTGGGATTCAGTGTTTTGGAGGCTGCTCTTTGCCATCTGTTCTGGCGAGGAGAGAGGAGAGCATATTTGATTTTCCTACAGCAATTGTAGCAGAGGTGCCATGTCTGGCCCTCACCTTGGTGAAGACTGTGACAAATGTGGAGCATTTAAGCAGTCGGCACTTTCCTGACTCTGAGAGGAACAGATGCTTTACTGGTGGCCTAATTCTGTGTTGAGGCTTTGGGAGGTGTTCCTGGAAACTCAGCCTAGATTCTGTTTTGTTCACCTTCCCAATGAATCTGGTACAGAACTGAACACCTACAACAATTCTGCTCATGCTAATCAGATGGGTTTTGTATCCCGAAAATTGGCCCTGACACAATACATCTGCTGTCGTGTTTTTTCTTCATTGCTTGGGAGGTACTGGTAGAAGAAAGATAATTATTATACGTTCTTTTGTCCTTTGGTCTTCTGTACCGTTGTATGAATTACCTATTCTAATAATGATGATGATAATGGTAATAATAAAATCCAAGTCCACAACACATTTATGAGTGATGCAAATTTTATTGTAGATTTTGTAGGGAGATGGATAAGACTAGTGTTTTCATTCCTCTTGGTAAAACTTATTTCTCCTCCCAAAGTTCTCAGCTGCCATTTCCCAAATTTCCCCACTCTTACCTTCTGAATCTCTCACTCCTTTCTCCTTTCCTCACCTGCCATTCTAGCAATTTATTGTAATATAAAAACACTTTAGAATGAACAAACTTACAGAGAGATGTTTCCTTGGAAAAATAAAAGAGACCACACAGGTATGCACTGTTTTGAGTAGTTGGTGTTCTGCAATAAAAGGTTTAAAATTCTAAGCAGTAGTTGGAAAGTGTTCTTTCCAAACTTGCAGAGATAGACTGAGACCCACTCATCTGGACTTGAGACCAAAGGAAGCCAGGTGGCATAGCTTCCTCAGTAGCTATGTCAGTTATTAAGATACTGTCTTTAAGACTCAAACCTACCCTTCATGCTTTGCTTTGTGATGTTGGGGCTGTTGATGCAAATCTCCTTTCTGCTTTGCTAGCTGGCTCTCTGTTAGACTCTGTCAACAGGGGGCACTAGAGGGAGTTTAAAGGTTGGAGGAAAGAGAAGGACTTGCTTCTTGTTTGTCTTTTGATTCTGAATGTCATCCTAGCAATGCTCCTTTGCAGTAGTTCATGCCCTTAGCAGTGGCAGAGTCTACTTTGCAGTTTTTCTAACACATATAAAACCAACTTCATTTTGTGTCCCCTCAGGGCCATCAGCACCCACTGGCTATCTGGTATTGTCTATCTGGTCCACTATTGTATCTCCAGAATGTAGAACAATGTGTAGCTATAGAAGGTACCTAATAGCTCCTGGCTGGCATAGCTCAGTGGATTGAGCACGGGCTGCGAACCAAAGTATCACAGGTTCGATTCCCAGTCAGAGCGCATGCCTGGGTTGCAGGCCACTGCCCCCAGCAACCGCACATTGATGTTTCTCTCTCTCTCTCTTTCTCCCTCCCTTCCCTTTCTAAAAATAAATAAATGAAATCTTAAAAAAAAAAAAGAAGGTACCTAATAAATTTTTTGTGAATGAATGAGTAAGTTTAGGAAGACTAGAAATACTGTGAATTTCAAATGTCAAAAGTTATTCTCTCCTCAGCCCCCAAAATCCAGACACTTATCTCAGGGCTTTGCATTCATCTCACCAAAGTAGTCAGTCATTCACTGTCCCATTTTTAGATGAGGAAGTTGGGGCTGAAAGGCTTTAGGAGGTTAAATAACCAGCTTCATTTTTCTTATACTCAACAGTCTGGGGTTCAAACTCTGTTCCGAGTCCTGAACCTGAGCTTCCCCGCTCTGCCCTACAAGCATTATGATATTTTTAAGGCCAGTGGGGACAGTCATTGACAAAGCATAAATATTCTGATGTTACACATGTATATACCAAGAGCATATATAACTGAGGAGAAAACATTTATTAGGAACCACTATTATAATTTTCATGTGTCTAATGAAAACATGGGAATTTGTGGTGTTAAAAGACATTTTATAAACTTTGTGAGAATGATCAGCAGTGTACATTCTGTGGAGTCATACATTCTGGGGAGATTCTATTTCCAGCTCTGCAGCTAATTAGCTCTGTGACCTTGGGCGAGTCCCAGAACCTTCCTGTGTGTTGCTTTTCTTATCTGAAGGGTGAGGGAGCCAGTCTCTGGGACTTACGATGCACATTCCATTTAGCTTTGTAATTTGGAAATCCTATACATAATATAAAAATGAACCAGCTCATTCTGTGCAGACAATAGGAGCTATCCCAATGTAATTCATATAATAAATAAACAAATGCATAGATCCACTATTTTCTCATGAAATGTTTATATTGCCATACATGAAAATCTATTCTTACAATCTATGATTTGTGCTCTAAAAGGAACTTGCAGTAACATTAAGTAATGTAACATTTTTTCCTTTTTAAAGCTAGCTTGAGGCTACAGTGATTTTTTAAAGGTCTGTTTTGCTTAGAAACTTTATACTTCTTAATAGAAGAAGAAAAATAGAAAGAAGAAAAATTCAATAGAGGATTCTATTTTCTGTTGCTAGGATGATGGAAGAATTTATTGAGAAGTTTATTTAATTAAGGCAAAGAAGTAAGGCTTCCTATTTATTTGTCCTTGAATTATTTTGAAAAGGAGCCACTAGAATATTTTGATTAAATTCTCTCTTCTTTGTGGCTTTGTAATTCAGTTATTACTTGGGGAATGCATCAGAAAGTTTTTTTTAAATACATTTTATTGATTATACTATTACAATTGTCCCATTTTCCCCCTTCAGTCCCCTCTACCCTGCCCACCCCCTCCCACTCACATTCCCTCCTTTATTTCATGTCCATGTGTCATAAGTTCTTTAGCTTCTATATTTCCCATACTATTCTTGCCCTCCTCCCGTTTATTTTCTACCTATTGTCTGTGTTACTTATTCTCTATATCTTTTCCCCCTCTGTCCTCCTCCTACTTTCCTGTTGCTAACCCTTCATGTCATCTCCATTTCTGTGGTTCTGTTCCTGTTCTATTTGTTTGCTTAGTTTGCTTTTGTTTTAGGTATGGTTTTTACTGACTGTGAGTTTGAAGTCTTTTTTTATTGTTCATATTTTTTATCTTATTTTTCTTAGATAAGTCCCTTTAACATTTCATATAATAAGGGCTTGGTGATGATGAACTCCTTTAACTTGGCCTTATCTGAGAAGCACTTTATCTCCTTTTTCCATTCTAAATGAAAGCTTTGCTGAATAGAGCAATCTTGGATGTAGGTCCTTGCCTTTCATGACTTGGAATATTTCTTTCCAGCCCCTTCTTGCCTGCAAGGTCTTTTTTGATAAATCAGCTGACATTCTGATGGGAACTCCTTTGTAGGTAACTGTCCCCTTATCTCTTGCTGCTTCTAGAATTCTCTCCTTCATTTTTACCTTGGGCTAATGTAATTATGATGTGCCTTGGCGTGTTCCTCCTTGGGTCCAACCTCTTTGGGACTCTCTGAGCTTCCTGGACTTCCTGGAAGTCTATTTCCCTTGCCAGATTGGGGAAGTTCTCCTTTATAATTTGTTCAAATAACTTTTACACTTGTTGTTTTTCCTCTTCCCCTTCTGGTACCCCTATAATTTGGATGTTGGAACGTTTAAAGATGTCCTGGAGGTTCCTAAGCTTCTCCTCATTTTTTTGAATTCTTATTTCTTCATTCTTTTCTGTTTGGTTGTTCCTTTCTTCCTTCTGGTTGATTCTCCCTTCCATTGATTTGAAACCCAGTTTTCTTTCCATCACTCTTGGTTCCCTGTGCATTTTCCTTCATTTCTCTTATCGTAGCCTGCATTTGTTCATCTAATTTATGACCAAAGTCAACCAATTCTGTGAGCATCCTGATCACCAGTGCTTTGAACTGTGCATCTGATAGGTTGGCTATATCTTGTTTGCTTAAAAGGACTGGCCAAGGGGCTCTTAATTCTGTTTGAACCATCTTCCCCCACCCTTTGGTCTGGTCGCGCCTGTTATGTATGAGGGGTGGAGCCTTAGGTGTTCACCAGAGAGGGGCACCTCAGTCGCTGGATTGTGACATTGTATGTGGGGGCTGGGTCCGAGAGGGTACAATGGTGCCCGCTCCGCTCTCTCTAGGACCTCAGTCCCCTTTGCCACTTCCCACAAGTAAATTGGGCCCTTTTGGTGCTGGCTCTCAGGCAGGTGGGGTGGGCTTGTGTACTTTCTCGGACTCTGTGGGTCTCCCCAAGGAGCCTCCTGTGAGGCTGAGAGATGCTTCCAGCCTCAACTCCCACAGGTGTTTCCAATTGGTGCCTTTAGACTTTGTTTCCCGGCGCTGGGTCCCTGGGTTGTGTGGTCTGTGTCGCTGCCCATTTCCACCTAGCTTGTCTGCTCTCGAATGTGTGGCTGTGGACAGCCAGCTGCCTTGCACGCCTCATTGGGTCTGCTCGTTGCCTCCCGCGCCCAGGGTCTGCCACTGGTCCGTCAGCTGCCCCTGGGCTTCTGGGGTCCGCCAATTGCCACCTGTGCCCTGCGCGCCTGTATCTGCCAGCCACCACTTCCTCCTGCTGGGACCCCTCGACCCCTCTCCGTAGGCCTCCGACTCCGCCCCTCCTTACCGGTCTGGATGAATGTTAGTCAGACTTTGGTTCGATTCACTTCTCTCTGTTCTGGTTGTTTTTTGTTTCTAAATTTTTGTTGTCCTTAGTTTTGGTTGCGCGAGGAGGCACAGTGCATCTACCTATGCCTCCATCTTGGCCAGAAGTCCCATCAGAAAGATTTTTAAGAAATGACTCAACCAATTAAATACAATAGTTGTATCACAAATTGAATTCAATGAAATCTCTGTTCATTAGCTGAGTGGGGGCCTTTGACGTTCTCACAGATTTAGCGATCCGTGACACCTGTGACCGCTGTCAGGTATAGGTAATAAAGCTGCTGTCCTTTTTCCCTCAAGGGTGCCACCTCTCTCTCCCACCTCCAAGGGAGACAGTGAAAGAGGGTGGACAGAGCCCTGGGCTGGGCAGTCCTGAGTTCCTGCTCTACCCTGGTGAGGGCTCTGCTGTTGCTTTGGGCCAGTGACCCTCTTTCTCTGGACTTCACCTGTAAGAGGAAGATCGGAGCAAAATATCCCTGAGACTCTTTCTGGATTTAAGTCTATAACTTTAGGGCTAAATTTTGGGGGCACCCATGATCCAGAGGAGACTGGTTGAACAAATTGCCTCAATAGAGGGCTTTTATGGGTAAAGGCCACTGGAAACTGAAAGACCAAGTGCCTGCCACAGTGGAACCCCCCTGCCCCCTGCCCATGGGGGCTGTGTTCAGACCCCATGGCAGACCAGCCAGCACACAGAGTCACTTTTAGTTAGTGTTGTGCTCCGGATCAACAAGGCCAATGGAGGTGGCTAAGGAGGACTAACTAGTCGTATCCAGAGGAGTCAGGAGAGGGTTTTAATCTGGCACAGGCTGTCTGGTTAATAGGCTTCATGTAGTTTGTCCTGGGAGTAGCCGAACAACAACCAGTTCTCCCTGAAGTACTATTTGTCCGGACAGTTATATTTAATAACCCAAGACCCCCCTGGGGCAGAGATTGATACAAGAAAATGTTATTTATTCTCCCATCACAATCCAAAGTGTCACATTCTTCTAGGTCAAAGCTGTACTTTTAACATCTTTTTTTTTCCCCACCTGATTTTAGTGCAGATAGTTTCTATTTTAGTAAGCTCCCAGGGTTCTAGCTACCAAGGAGAGAAAGAGAAAAAAGGACTATAGAAAAAATTCCTTAGGTTACATGTTTTCAATTTACATTTTTATTTGGGTGTTGATGCAGTACCAGTGTGTCTAGCTAACGGTCCTTTTAATCTCATGTTGTATCAGAGTTAGTTGTGTGGGGGAGTCCCGGGCCTCGGGGCCTTCAGAGACAGTCTAGTCCGTGGTATGCTGCTGACCTGGCTCCCTGGAAACAAGGGTCCAGATTTGTCGCTTTTTCTGGTTTCTGTGGTATACATACTCTCACCGGGTCAATTTCAAAGTATGATTGTGACATCCCTGAATGTGGAATTGGGAAGCAATGCACATTGCCTCCTGTGATCTGATAGGGGCCCATTTCAGCGCATCTCTGAACATTCTCAATGAATGGATATGCTGAGGGATGCAGAGGCAGTCTGGTGTATGTTATTTGGAGGTAGATGAAGGGCTAATATTATTTTAGGGGTGGGCAACTTCTTGGGAGAGGACTGCAGGAAAACACGTCATCTGAATGCAATTGAAATGAAAGCTGCAAAACCAAGCAAGTATGAGTTCCTGGGCCCAAATCTTGTACATACCATCTTAGGCTAGTAGGCAGATGACTGGAGCCCATGTGGCCAGAAACAGGTGTCAGTACACATAGTGCACGTATATGTGTGTACACACCATGGGATGAAAGCTGTGTTTTGATGAGTGGGAAAGGAGATACACTTGCATATATTAACTACATATTACACATATTTACAATCTACGGTATATCTGTTTTTCCTCCTTGTCCATCTTGGACAATGTAGACGTATTTTTTTGGACAAGAAAATATTCCATGTGCACTTGAGAAAAATGTATATTCTGCTGCTTTTGGGTTAAATGTCCTAAAAATATTAGTTAGGTCCATTTGGGCTAATGTGTCATTTAAGGCCACTGTTTCTGCACTGATTTTTTTCTCTGGATGATCTATCCATTGATGTCAATGGGTGTTTTCAAAATGATCACATATTGCTTTTATAATTAGAAAAAAGATTCTTAGGATAAAGGCAGGCAATTATACTTTCCTCTAAGTAATCTTTAAAAGGGCTTCTATAAAGAGCTCTTTTAATACTCAGCCATCAAGCTAAGAGAAACATTATGATCTCT